CTTCCCGGGATGTTTCTGACTTTATCGTTAAATTCCGGTCATTAGATTCTGACTCTGCCTTCTGATTTCCGAGCGCTTTCCTGTTCTCTCATCGCTCCTTCCTGGTGGCGCTTCCTGTCTGGGCTTTGGGACGGGAGCTTCTTGCGTTTGTTCCGTGGTATCCGTTACTATTTCGTTGATTTTTGACAGTTTCTCCGTTTCCCCCATGATCTTCGTTTCCTTGGGTTTCCTCTTCCTGTGCGAGGCCTTCCCCCCAAGTCTGTGATCCTGCTGGTTCATTCACACTCAGGAGTGAAGCCCAGAAAGTGGGTTGGAATCTGCGTTAGCAGTTGTGGCCACACCCCTGTCCTGGGACCTTGAACCCCCCGTCCTGGGCCTCTGTCCCAGCCAGCTGGGTCCAGTGGAGAGGGTGGGGTCTGGGTACTGATGGGTGGACATAGAGATGCTGATAGAGGTGTGTAGACAGAGGCATAGTTTAAATCCCCCTGTTATTCTAAGTGCAGCCATTGCTGAGAACCAAGCCCTGCTCAGCTGGACAGTCTGCACTGATAATGCTGGTTCTTGTGAGAGCTGGGGCATTACCAAGCGTGGGAACCGGCCTAGTGCTTTTTGTTGTTGATCCTCACTGGAGGATATTTTCCCATTGATTTTTAGACAGAGTGGGCAGGAGGGAGGGAGGGAGAGAGAGAAACATCGATGTGAGAGAGATACATTGACTGGCTGCCTCCCGCACCAGCCCCAGGCAGGGCTGGGGATCGAACCTGCAACCCAGGTCCCTGCCCTTGACCGGGAGGAGGGGCAGTCCTTCTACCACAGGTGTCTTTACGGCTGTGACCGGACACCTGTATGGGAAGAAGCCTGTGAGACAGCTGTGGGGAGTGGGGTCCGGGAGGGACTCTCTCGAGGCAGATGGAGCAGGACCTGTGAGGGCAGCTTGGTCGAGGCCGGAGAGTTTGGCCCCTGCGCCCTGGTGAGGCCAGAGGGTGGAGTCCAGGAGCCCCCAGTGGCTGAGGCCTCGGAGGGACCCCGAGGACTAAGGGGACCCTGGCCGTGGAGGGGCGCAGAGGTGCGATCTGCACCGCGGCGTCCCGGGCGGTTTGCTTTGGCAATGACTTCACCTCTGTCCCCGGTTTCATGTCCTGGGCAGACGGTGCTGAGCCAGATCAGCAGGGGTGTGCTTTGAAAATGTGACAGCCTGACATCCTGGCGCTGTGATTAGAGCCCCCAGGACAGCGTTGAGGTGTTGAGTGTGGGGGAGGGAGCCCGGGTTCCCCATCTGTCCCCCTGAAGGAGGGGAGGACCGGGCTGGCTTCGCAAAGCCGCCCCTGTTTCCAGCGGTCCTCGCGGGAGAGAATGAACCCCCTCCGTCAGAGGTGACTAACGAGGTCGGCAGATACCTGCAGCCCAGGAGGGCCCGCGGCGCCGGACCGCCCCCCGTGACAGCATGGGCGCTGGGACAGGGGCGGAGGACTCGGGGGACATTGGGAACAGCAGCGCCCGGGACTCGCTGTCGGTGCCGGGCTGGCAGCGCCTCTAACTGCATTTAAGGGCCGATCGTCTCATTCTGAGCTGAGGGCGTGGGGGAGAGACACCCGGGCTTATCGGGGGCCAAGACGGGTCAAATCAGCTCCCACCCCACCCAGGCCCCTGCCTGCCTGCCTGCCTGCCTTTCTTTCATATATTCTTTCTTTTTAAAGATTTTTTTTATTGATTTTTAAAGAGAGAGAGAAACAGCGATGTGCGAGCAAAGCACCAATAGGCTGCCTCCTTCCTGCACAGCCCCTGCTGGGGATCGAGCCCGAAACCTGGGCATGTGCCCTGACCGGGAATTGAACCTGGTGACCTTTCCGTGCCCGGATGATGCCCAACCAACAGAGCCGCACAGGCCAGGGCCCTGGGCCTCTTGCAAGGGACACCGAGGCCCACATCCTGTCTCTGCCCGAATGTCCCTGACAGGTGTGGCCACAGAGGCCTCCGCTCCACGGCACTTGCCTTTTTCTATACCGTTTGTCTACAGGAGTATCGTTCTCAGAAACGAAGACCAAGGGACGTGAACACGGTTGTCCCATCACACAAAGGCAGCCCTTGCTGCTGTTTTAACGCATTTCCTCAAAGTTTATTCTCTGTTTATTTGGCCGTGAATAAGTCATAACGGTGCATTCCTTTTCTGTGATGATTTTTAATTATCTTTGTAAATATTTTCGTCACTGCGTAACTGTCTCCTGGATGTGCTAACGGTAGCCTATCAGGGTCCTTTTGTTGAAGGCTGGCGTGGGCTCAGCATTTTTGCCCATTTCCCTGCCCCTTTTCAGAGAGAAGCACGTCCCTCTGTGACCCTCGGTGAGGGCGCAGGGTCTCGCGAGGCAGTGTGGGGCCTCCGCCTGGGCCTCGGAAGGTCAGTTAATTAACCTTCCGTCGGTAGTTGTGGTTCCCTGCGACCTCGTAGCAAGATTCCTATTCAAAGGCCTTTGCGTGCATGCGGGAGCTGATTAAACCACTGCCCTTGGGTGGAGTCCAAGCAACTAAATTGTATTTAAAAGGAACCAAAGGCTAGTCTCTTTACAACATGTGAGATTAAACTGGGGAGCACGCCTGGGATCGGCGACAGCTGGGCGGAGGCCCTATCTTGCTTGTGTGACGCGGTTCCCTCCGTAGCCCCCGGTCTGGTGCCCCACGGCCCTTCTCAGAGCTGCCAATAGCTCTGTCCACCCAGGAGAAGAGCGAGGCCTGGAGTAAAGAAGCCGGTGCCCTTCACGGTGGGGGACGGTCCATTATCTCCCACACGTCGTCGTTTCGGGAGAGGGGTGGGCACCGCCGGGGGCTGCGCTTTCCGTCGATTCCTGTGCTCGTTCCAGAATTCATTGAGTCTGGACGCAGGGCCTCCGTTTCTTGGACGTGCAGCAGGTACATTCGAATTGCTTTCCGGGTGGTCTGTGGGGAAGGATTCATCTTTGATATAATTCATCAGAAGCAGAGGCCCGCAGTGCGTTTGCTCACAAAGCCTCCCGGTCCCCACCGTGGGACGGTGAACCCTGTCCTGCCCCACGTTCCCGGAGCCCATCGGAGGACCTGCACCCCAGATGGAAACACAGTTTTAAAAAATATATATATTTCTATTGATTTCAGAAAGGGGAGGGGGGAGAAACATCAATGATGAGAGAGTCATTGATCGGCTGCCTCCGGCAGGCCCCCGACCCGGGATCGAACCACGATCTCCTGGGTCCTAGGTTCATGCTCGACCGCTGAGCTGCGCCCGGCCGGGNTAAAAATATATATATTTCTATTGATTTCAGAAAGGGGAGGGGGGAGAGAGAAACATCAATGATGAGAGAGTCATTGATCGGCTGCCTCCGGCAGGCCCCCGACCCGGGATCGAACCACGATCTCCTGGGTCCTAGGTTCATGCTCGACCGCTGAGCTGCGCCCGGCCGGGCGGAAACACAGTTAAAAAAAATTTTTTTTTTAATTGTATTTATTGAAAAATATGTACCTGAGGTAACGTTGATTCGTAACATTCTATAAATTTCAGTTGTACAGCTTTATACGGCGCCATC